AGTTTATAAATATCCACCCCAAGAAAGACCCGGAGATTGTTAAATAGTCATTGGGTGTGTAGCGCCAATGGCGGGGCTTGAAAAATCGATTTTATATCTATGGTATTGCATGGAAAGAAAAAGGAGTCAGGGAGGGTTCGGGTTGAGTTGAATGAGTGAGTCTCATCTCATTTCATGGCATGACATTGCTAAGATTTCAACATTGAATAATATATTCTTGTTTGGGATGTTGTTGGTTTTAAAGTGTTGCATAAACATTCATATGCACTTAGGTTGGGGAATAACCTTGGTAGGAAATAAAATGTTGAGCGTGGCTCACTCTATATGGAAAAATATTTCAGATACAGAATACACACTGAAAGAAGGCCCTCAAGTGGGACCTCAAAGATAAAGAAAGTCAAAATGTGGCTTTGTTTTAAACCTTGTAAATATTTATGAAAATTATGTTATTTGGTATGTAAATATATGGACTGGATAGAAATAGAACTAGTATGGGTGTTGTATTACATGGAAAACTTCACCATGCAAGTGCTAGATGAAAATGAGGTGGATTGGAATGGGTTGAAAATCAAAAACAGGTGAAACTGGCAAAAACTGGAAAAAAGTGTACCGGTACAACGTTTTTCAGAAGGCAAAGCGCACCGGTATGCGATACCGGTACAGATTTTTCAAAAGGCTCACCGTACCGGTACACAGTACCGGTGCTCTTTCCAAAATTTTGCCAAGCTTTTGGACTATGTATCCTTTTATTCAAATGATGTAAATGNCTGGCAAAAACTGGAAAAAAGTGTACCGGTACAACGTTTTCCAGAAGGCAAAGCGCACCGGTATGCGATACCGGTACAGATTTTTCAAAAGGCTCACCGTACCGGTACTCTTTCCAAAATTTTGCCAAGCTTTTGGACTATGTATCCTTTTATTCAAATGATGTAAATGGACTATAAGGGAGTGTAAATGGACCTCGGTTGGGTCAAGTGGTAAAATGTACACGGATTACACGTGTAGGTTATAAGCCTGATTAAAAGGATGTTATTAACGTGACGTCAAGTTGTGCGACAAACACGAGTATTTCTGCAGGTTGACGAATGGTCAACGGTAGATAAAGGACCCCCGATTTTTAGGGGCGTCACATAGACAATGGTTTTCCAAATTATCCAGTATTGTGATAGGTTATGGTTTCATCCAATCCAAGTTTGATCATTCCTTATTCACGAAGGTCACAAATGTTTTTTTTATTGCTATGCTAGTCTATGTTGATAATATAGTCATAGCTACGAATGATCCTAATGATACAATTGATCTTAAGACTTTTCTACATAGCTATTTTCACATGAAGGATCTAGATACTTTAAAGTACTTTATGGACCTTGAGGTAGCTAGATCTTCCATAGGAATTCCTATCTATCAACACAAATTTTCAATTGAAATTCTGCAAGACTCTGGATTTCTTGGAGCAAGAGCAACAAAATCACCAATGGGGCATCATCTGAAACTCAACAAACATACTGGTGTAATAGTTATAGATGTTTTCATTTATATAGAACTGATTGGGAGGCTACTTTACCTCACTCTCGCTCAAACTGATTTAGCCTATGTAGTTTAAGCTCTAAGTCAATATTTGGAATCTCCCAAATAGTCTCGTCTTGATGCAACTCAAATAATCTTACGCTACCTCAAAACAACTCCAGCACAAGGACTTTTATTTTCTATTACATCTCTAATACATCTCAAAGCCTTACGTGATGCTGACGGGGCTGGATGCCCTAATATAGAAACTCTATCATAGGATTCTGTGTCTTTCTAGGCAAGTCTCTCATTTCGTGAAATTCCAAGAAGCAAACCATTATTTCTCGCCCCTTTGGTTAAGTAGGATATAGGGTGATAGCCTCCATTAGTTGTGAATGGACCTAGTTACTTGCCCTCGTTACTGATCTTTAAATCCCTTATTCTCAGTCACCCCTACTTTTCTGTGACAACCAAGCTACCTTACATGTTGTATTCAATCCAATGTTTCATGTAAGAACTAAGCATATTGAACTCGATTATCATGTAATTCATAAAAAATACAAGCAAACACTCTCAAGACACTTCATGTCACCTCTTCTAAGCAATTAGGGGATATTTTCACCAAACTACTTGGTCTTGCTTTGTTCGACCTTCTACTCAACAAGCTAGGTATTCTTGACATCCACACTCCATCTTGAGTGGATGTGTGGAGAAGGAGGCAATTCACAACTCACAGTGTTGTTTCCCCAGTTTAGCTACTTAGCTATCACAATTGTTAAAATTAGTTACAAGCTGTGTTTAATTAGTTAGTTTGTCAGCAGTCAGTTGGTTAAGAGAAGTGAAGCGGTGCACATGTAAACCTTAAATATATATACACTATGATGCAACCAAAGTAGTTAGTTAATGAAAACATGATTTTCACTGTCTTTCTCTCTCTCTCTCTCTCCCTCTCCCTCTCCCTCTCTCTCTCTCTCTCTCTCCCCCCTCTAGTTCTTCTTTTTCATTTCCTCTTTTCTTCAATTTTAACAGTGCCTTACCTAAAAGGTTTTGACACTTCATGCAAAGCACTAGCATCAGGAGGTGGTTTCATCATAGGTTCAATGTGTTGTATTTTGAAACAAGGCCTCTTTAAATTTTCAATTATATTGTAATTGCATTATATTCAAAAGCTAAATATACGGACCCGCTCTAGAACAAATTACTCTTAACCTTTGTAATCTCAATCGTCTCTTAATTNAACTAAATATACAGACCCGCTCTAGAACAAATTACTCTTAACCTTTGTAATCTCAATCGTCTCTTAATTTATGAATTGGACTCTGCATTGCTTTGTTTCACTGGGGGAGAAGTTGTATTACAAAACGTTTGCATGGTTATTTGAGATTCCATTTTCATGCTTTGCATTTTTCTACAAATTGTGAAGCATTCCATGGATGTTTTTTATTTTAACCAACTTGCAAAACAGGTATGTTTCATGTGCATGGTGTCTTCATTTCTGGGATTTTGCATCCAAACATTTCAAGATATGAATGCTATGTGCCTAGTAAAGATTATGAATGTTACTTGGTGCTCCGTGGATGGAAAAAGGAGTGGTCAGTTCTCATTGGGTTATATTTGAAATCTTGGCAGCGAGTTTATGGATCTCATTGACTCTATTACTGAAGCCTTATTCCAATTTGCACAATGTACAAGAAATCCTTCTACAATTTTGCTATATCTTGACTAACAACACTCAAAGTTTTATCTGCTTTTTTCATCGTACTTTCAAACTTCTCAATTTATTATGGTTTTTATAAAAATGTGATTTCACCCGCTCTTTTCAACATAAATGTGTTTTGAGAATATTCTTTTGAAAGTATTTAATATTTAGTATCAAAATAAATCACGCTTTTATGGAAACTATGGTAAATTGAGAAGTAAATTTGAAATTACTTTAGAGAGACAATTCAGTTTAAAAATTACTTAATGTCGATTCAAAGGCCATGGCCATCTAGTGTCACAACATGTACTGCCTTTGTTACCTTAGAAATTCTTTGTTGTCCTTATTTCTTCTTTGTTTTGTTTAGTGAGGTGCAGTGATTTCAAAACACTAATTCCTTTTTTTCATTTGTGGCGAGTAGGCGACTCCTCTTTCATGCAATTTCTTGGAGGATAAACTGACATTTTAAAGCAACATGTTGGAAGGCTACAACATGACATGACCTTTCAAATTAGAATCCACTGTTAAATGAGATCATAATCTTTTGTTAAATAGGTCTTTGATCTAATGATACTCTTTACCTTGTGAAGACTTTGGCTTCCTAAGGTAAAGAGTTCAAGTCCCTCTCCCCCGTCTACCAAAAAATTAAAAAAAAAAATTGAGACGATAATATAGTTGATTGAGTCTGTAAAATTGTATCATTAAAATGGGTACAAGTTACATGAACGGATCCAAGCTAGTTTGGAACTGCACAGCTATAGATATTATACATACTCTTTCAGAAGAAATAACATTAAGTGTAACATTAAACTAAGGTGAAAATAATATATCCCTACATGATGTAATAAAATATGTCAGAACATATTGCGAATAATATTCTGATTAGGGAAGAAAAAAGTCTTAATGTACAGCTTATTTCTTGCATGATCTATGTACTAAACTCTTATTTCCACAAAAAGTTCTGATATTGAACATGTACTATAGTGACCCGGTATTTATANTAAGGTGAAAATAATATATCCCTACATGATGTAATAAAATATGTCAGAACATATTGAGAATAATATTCTGATTAGGGAAGAAAAAAGTCTTAATGTACAGCTTATTTCTTGCATGATCTATGTACTAAACTCTTATTTCCACAAAAAGTTCTGATATTGAACATGTACTATAGTGACCCGGTATTTATACTTGAGACCTCTTATCAATTAAGCCATCAAAAGCATGGATTAGTCCCCGGAAAATCATGCATTCTGTTTTCTAATATGTATGATTTTAATTTCTGATCACATATTATGCTTACTCCAATTATGAAAAACTAAAGAGGGATAGAGAGACATAAAGAATAAGAAATTTTTTATAATAATCAAAATCCACATTAACGGAATTTGCGGTGCATTTGTCGNTTTATGATTTTAATTTCTGATCACATATTATGCTTACTCCAATTATGAAAAACTAAAGAGGGATAGAGAGACATAAAGAATTAGAAATTTTTTATAATAATCAAAATCCACATTAACGGAATTTGCGGTGCATTTGTCGAACCTGTCATCAAAATCTCATCATTTACTATAAAACAGGAACAAAGATTGAAGTTAATTCAAATAAAATCATTTATACTATATAAATCTACAAAACCTCTATTTTTGGGTAAATCGAAACCCCAAATACTAAGATCTGAAAGTAATATCTACAAGGAAAAGCTGAAAATCAAAAATAAAAATTCCTAATCTTATGGGTTTTGGAGCCAGTAGTAGATGCAATATTACTGCTTTTGCTAGTGCTCGCACCATCACAAGATCGGTTGATGTACAATAATCTCATTCGTCGATTGTTGCTCGGTATTCATCGTAAGATTGTCCATCACAGCCTTCTTGAGAGTTTCTTCGTCCTTCTGCCCTTGAGAATCAATGGTGGGTTTATCCACAGAAGCCTCATTATCCATCAACCCTTGTGCTTTGTTCACGCAAAGATTGCCCATGATCACAACCTCCAGGAGATTTTCTTCGTTCTTTTTCTTGAATAACTCATAATACTCATTACTCAGAGTAAGATTGGTCATCACAGCCTCCTTGAGAGTTTCTTCGTCCATCAGCCCTTTTTCTCTACCATGTCGCTCAATCACAACGTCTAAAATAGAACTAAAATCCCTAGTAACTGGGATTTCCTTCGNGTGTTTCTTCGTCCATCAGCCCTTTTTCTCTACCATGTCCCTCAATCACAACGTCTAAAATAGAACTAAAATCCCTAGTAACTGGGATTTCCTTCGTCTTCACACCGGTCAGAAGTTCAAAAACAATATCTCTCATGATCTTCGTTGCAAGTTGCAAGTTGCAACTACAGAATCAGATATGGTTTCTTGATAAAAGTGNCGTCTTCACACCGGTCAGAAGTTCAAAAACAATATCTCTCATGATCTTCGTTGCAAGTTGCAAGTTGCAACTACAGAATCAGATATGGTTTCTTGATAAAAGTGAGAGGGGTTTAGGGTTTCTTTGGAAAATTGAGAGGAAATAAGGTTTTCTTAAGAAAAGTGAGAGAGGATTAGGGTTGTTTTGGAGTAGGAATGTGAAACTTTTGAGGAGAGTGATGAAACCTGGAGAGGACCTGCTACTTATACATAAGCTTAAGTCCTAGCGGCCAAAGAACTCTCTAGAACTACTCTGTTTGATGTTTATGGTTTCCTAAACCGGCAGAACAATCCTTGTGAAATTGATAAACTTGATGATCAAGTTATAATTAGTTGGTTTTGGATTTCCCGTAAACTCACTTGTATAGTTGAGCTACAAGTGTGCATTAACGGGAAAGATTTAATTGCCTTGAGAATCCAATGGCAATGATGAGACAGGCGAGTAAGATATGCTTGAAAAGCAAAATGAGATCCCTTATTTTATTTTTAATCTATATTTAAATTCGTTAAAAACCAAAATACAATTTAATCCAAACAATTCAATTAGAGTTACATTTTAGCAAAATATAGCATAATATTAACTCAGTATAATCAAATAATCATTTATACCAACATATATTTAAATAGGGTATGATATTTGAATAGCAGTGGCCAAAGAACTCTGTATTTGCATAGAACTACTTTTCACAAAGTAGGAAAGAGAATGAGGAAATGACGAGGAATCTGATACATTTTATGTAAATCCAACGGAACTCTGTTTGATGTTTTTGGTTTTCTAAACATGCTCAACAATTAGCCGTGTCCAAAGGTCGTGTCAGGTTAAGCCTATGAAATTATTTCGGGTCAAACCTCAATAGTGTAAATCTAAGTTCTTACTTAAGTGAGTTGTTGAACTGATTGGGCCAGGCTTCAGGTAGGGGTAGTCTACCCGCAGCCCAACCCATGGGTGGGTGTGGGTAGGCTTGCTTGTGAATTTTTTTATATACAATTTTATTTAAAAATGATAAATATTTTTGTAACTTAATATTTGTGTAAATTATATTTTTGAANGCCGTGTCAGGTTAAGCCTGTGAAATTTTTTCGGGTCGTGTCAGGTTAAGTCTATGAAATTTTTTCGGGTCAAACCTCAGTAGTGTAAATCTAAGTTCTTACTTAAGTGAGTTGTTGAACTGATTGGGCCAGGCTTCAAGTAGGGGTAGTCTACCCGCAGCCCAACCCATGGGTGGGTGTGGGCAGGCTTGCTTGTGAATTTTTTTATATACAATTTTATTTAAAAATGATAAATATTTTTGTAACTTAATATTTGTGTAAATTATATTTTTGAATCAAATGTAGAGTCAAAATGAATAAAAATAAATTATGAGTAATTTTATTTTTTATTAGGGGGTGAATTACATCTAATAGAATGAATATATCTCAACTAGATTGACACCTACTCACTTATCTATCATTTGCATTATTTTATCCTTTAAAATTTGTATATTTAAGAAATAGAAAAGAAAATAATACATTATTTTTAGTGTCTATATTTTTAAAACTTTAAATTCCGATATTGAGAGATTTTTTTCAAAGTTTCAAATTTGATACTCTAAAAATTTAACTTTCTTTCAAAGGATGGGTGGGCTGGTTGGGTTGGGGGGCGGGCTCTTGGGTCGGATTTTATCGAATTTTTTCGAGTAGGTTATTGGTCCAGGTAATGGGTTTGGGGGCAAATTCAAACCCTCTTTTCAAGAGTATTAGGTTCAGACTCAAGCGGGCCAACTATCGGGTTTATCAGGTCTTTTGGACCTATTTTTTTTTTGGACAGGATAACAGGACCCGTGAGTAATCCGGCCTATGAANAGAAATAGAAAAGAAAATAATACATTATTTTTAGTATCTATATTTTTAAAACTTTAAATTCCAATATTGAGAGATTTTTTTCAAAGTTTCAAATTTGATACTCTAAAAATTTAACTTTCTTTCAAAGGATGGGTGGGCTGGTTGGGTTGGCGGGCGGGCTCTTGGGTCGGATTTTATCGAATTTTTTCGAGTAGGTTATTGGTCCAGGTAATGGGTTTGGGGGCAAATCCAAACCCTCTTTTCAAGAGTATTAGGTTCAGACTCAAGCGGGCCAACTATCGGGTTTATCAGGTCTTTTGGACCTATTTTTTTTTTTGGACAGGATAACAGGACCCGTGAGTAATCCGGCCTATGAACACCACTAAGAACAATCCTTATCAACTTAATTATTCATAATTTTCTATCTACTTTTCAATAGTATGATAATAGACAAAAAAAAAAAAAAGATTGGGGAAGGATGACTAGAAGGTAGGGGAATGTGTATTAATTTTACGCATCGCACGAGGCCGTTGATAGTGTTTTACATATAAATCAATTTCTATAAACGTTAGTTTTGGAAACATAGAGCTTAAAAATGTTATCTACAAAATCAATTAGTATGTTTTTATTGGGTCGTGTCATTTTGGATTTGTGGCATATATTGTTCAACTAAAATCTAACTCATTTAATCTATCATGTTAGATGTTTTGAAACTAATCTGATCTACTTATTAGAACGTCATATTTTTTTTGGCTTGTAAAATTTGTGATCTAGGAACTTAACACCAAGATTCCCTTCGGTCTCAAAGGAACCCACCACCCATAGGTTTCCATAAACAAAAAATGTACTCAATTCATATGCTAGTAAAATAGAGTAAAAAGTCCATGAATTTTACAAGGATTATACGATACCTATAAAGAAATTTTAAAAAAAAAATTTCTACAAATAATACATGTAAATTTATTATGTCAAGACCAAAATTTGACACTCCCCTGTTTGTTTTTTTTTTTTTGATAATCACTTGATCGCTGTCTTGTCCTCTTTCTTTTTCTTAGAAAGTTTCTCGTTTTCATACTTTAAGCATAATATACGATTATGCTATAATAAAATATACTATCACTTTAGCATAACAATACTATGTCCTAGTCTATTGCTCATTCTATGTCGTGGAACATAGAAAAGATTCCCAATTGGAAGCGGGCGCCATCGTTTGAACATATTTTCGTGGTTGAATAATAACAAAAAAATTATCATTCTTAATTAATATTGTTGGTTAAAACTATAAATGAGAGTAGCAAGCCCAATTGGTACACTATCCAAGCTTAGATAAAATAATGAGAAATTTAGAGGTTGGTCCATATTTTATGATTTATAGGGCTTGAAGTCCATTCTAAAAATTATATTGGATTTAAGGACATTTGTGCAATTGTCCAAAATACCTAAAATTCCTTCTTTGCCTCACAGAAGAAATCGAATAAAAGTCTATTTTACTGAAACTTGACCTAACATCACTACAAGAAATTGGTCTTTTAGCCGCGAAAACTATTGCGGTTAAATGCATTAAAATTGTCACTATATACTTTAGTGACAATGTTTTTATTGCCACTAGTCTGTGACAATATGTGTATGACTAAATCATTTAGGTATGGCATTTAATTGTTGCCACTAAAAGTAAATTTTTTAGTCGTAGTATGAAAATTGTCATTCAATGTGAAATCTTTAGCCTCAATAATTGTTGTAGCAAGTTAACATAATTTTGCCACTAAAATATCCCATATCACCACCAGAAGTCTAATTAAAACATGGCTTTTAGTAACAACAATTAATTGCGACTAAAAGTATACATTTTACCCACAATTAGAATCACCACTAAAATTTGAAACATGTTTTTAGTGACAATGTATTGTCGCGGCTAATACATTAAAATGAATAGAAAAAATACCTATTGCATATTTGAAAGAATTTATTTTTAAATATTTTCCAATTTCACATACCTATTATAGTTTAATGAATCAATATATATACCTTTTTTTTAAAACAAAAACTAATTTTATTTATTCACAAAACCAACAAAATTACCAGAAGCAAGTAAGGTCATAGCCTATTCAAAACTAACAAAAGATATACAATAACCAAAACAGCTAAACAACTTCTTCCAAAAGCTCCCTCTAGACCAAAGCAGCAAACCAGCAAAGGAAAGCACATCCAAAAAGTCTAACAGACTACTAATTCCATCGTATATACCATGTTTCAGACACCATACAGCCATCCTCAAACTGGTCGCCATACAAATAGTAGTGCCAAGCCTTCAAAGGAACGACAATGGCCGCCAACCACATGTCATGCATGAGATAGTTCTGCTCGTGGTTCTTTAACTGCCGAGAACCATAAGCTACTACCCTCTCAAATTACATCAAAATACAACCAAGTCTGTCCTTGGATGCATCACAATACATTGTGTACCTCTCTCCCCTCTCCTAAACTATCAGAATAGGAGCTAAAGTAAGCCTCCCGTCCAACTCTTGGAATGCCCTCTCACACGAGTCATCCCACTAAAACTTGACCTCCTTCCAGGTCAATCCCGTCATTGGTGCAGCTAGTCGAGACAAGCCATCAATAAACCTCCTGTAATACCCTGCCAATCCCAACAAATTGCGTATTTCGAAAACTAATTTCGGTCCTTCCCAACTTATAATCGCCTCAACCTTCTCCGGGTCAATTGACACACCCAAAGTCGACACCACGTGCCTCAATAATTTCATTTCTGTCAGCCAAAATTCACACTTGCTAAACTTAGCATACAACTAATGGTCTCTTAAGGTCTGGGGAATAACCCACATGCTCCTCCTTTGAGTTGGAGTAGATCAGGATGTCTTCAATAAAGACTACGACAAACTGATCTAGGCTAGGTTGGAACACCTTATGAATAAGATTCATGAATGTCATCGGAGCATTCGTCAATCAAAAAGACATCACAGTGAACTAGATATGCCTATACCGTGTCCTGAACGTCGTCTTAGGGATGTCTTGCTCCCTAATCCTCAATTGATGGTATCCCATGGGTAGATCTATCTTGAA